AAGATCACACCAATGGCCCAAACAAGGCTCGTGGTCTTAGCAATGGCCCAAACAAGCAATTAAGGCTCGCGGGCTTAACATTGCGTTTGGTGGAGTTTAATTTTGGTGTAATCAACTTTATCTCTTAGAAGGTAATCTGTTTAGTTTATTTAATTTTATCAATCTATATAGTCTTTTTCTCCATTGCCTATTTTCCAAATATATATATATATATAGTCTTTTTCGGTAATTAGTGTATTTAAAAGTATTAATTTATAAAAAATTAGATTTAAACTCTGTGCTCTAAAATTCCTAAGGCTAGGGTTTTGGGGATGACGGGTTTCTCTTTTGGGTCTTCTTTCTAGTTTAGGAGCTCCCTCTCTTCTCTGTTGCATACAACTAAGGTTGTTAAAATCGAGATTTTATCATATATTGGAAGGGGTAGATGAGATTGCAAATCGTAAAATCGCAAATAGGATTTTATGATTGTAGTAAATTAAATTTGTATATTTATATAATTAAAAAAAAAAAACTATGTAAATGTTTTAAAATAAATTGTTAAGTTTGTTCATTAATGAAATAAGTCTAAATTGAAATATTTAAAAAGTTCAAATATGAAGTACTTAATATTTAATAGTTCATAATATAATTTAAAGGTTAAACAATAATTGCATATGGTAAAAAACAATCAAATAACAACTTAAAAATCCTCCATGTTATCATTTTCTTTAGTTTCTATATTTTGATTCTCCTCATCATTCTCATAATCAACAAAAGTGATCTCCAATAAATCATACTTCTCCAATTCATCTTCTTTGTCATCTTCTACAAAATCATCTTCTATGTCATCTTCACTTTCAAGATTTATTAATTCTTCATTTGTTTGGGAATTAGCTAGTCATTCGTCATCTAAGGAGATATCATTTAACTCAACTTGCTTTCTCACTTGTTTGTCTTTCAATTTTAAATTGCATATGACAAACACTAATCATTCATTTTCTTTTGATGTAGACGGTTCCTTGTTTTTGTATGAACCTACAACAATTCATTTGTTATAAAATATTAATAAAAATTATGAAATAACAATGTAAAAAACTAAGTATTAATTAAATCAAATTTAAAAGGATAATGAAATTTTATCATCTCAAAAGTACTTCAATTACGTTCACAATTAGATAAACTACAAGTCAAACTAAGCATTCAAATTGCAAAACACTGTAATTTAGGACGTTCATCTCCATAAGAGTTCCACCAATTAGTTGGAGATTTCTTATTCCACATATTTCTTTCTTGAGTACCCCAAATGATCCCTTATGAACCTTAAAAAGATCAATTTGAGAATCAATTTTATTCCTTTCATCTTGACTCAACACCATCCTTTCCAAGCAATTATAGAAACCCCTTTTAACCTCCATATCAACCTTGTAATTGTTTTCAGGATTTGGATCAAAACAAAAATGAGGATTAAAAAAATATGTTCCTGCATGTAATGGTCTATGGAGTTGAGATGCCCATCTATCATCGATAATTTTCCAAATAGGCTCA